GATCATAATTTTCACTTCTCAATTTAAATTATTTTTATTGCTTTAAATGACTTTAAATCTCATTTGAGTGTTATCAAAAAGCATTACTTTTTAAAAAATTAAAAATAGTCTAAAAAAAACCTTAAAATGTCTAAAAATAGTAACTTTATGCTAAGAATGAGACTAAATGAGATCAAATGAAATCACTTTCTCATTTTTTTCAAGTCATGATTTCATTTTAAGATCTGATATATAGTCACTTTACATGTTTTTTTAATGACTAGTCCCAGCGGGATTCACGCTAAGAAATGTATGAGACCAGATCAAATGAGATCAAACATGAAATTCATGGTCCCAGTGACCAGTCTACTCAGAAGTAGTAGATGAAATACTATAATTAAAAACATCTTTCAATGAAGTTCTTAATAGAGAATTAAGTACTACTTTCAGTAAAGAATATCAAGACAATGAGACTGTGTAAGAAGCTCAGTAAGTGATGACTAGAATCTTTCCTGATAATAAGAGTAATAAATAAGCAGATATATAAGTTAAAATTACTCTCAGAATTGAAATTAATTCATTCTATTTTTCATATTTTCTATTTAAAGCTCTATAAGTAACACTCTGAGATGAAGCTGTCTTAATCAGATAATATTGAGATTGAGAGTGATACTGAATATCTTATAAAGAAAATATTAAATAAGTGAATGCATTATAACAAGCTTCAATATCTTATTAAATAAGAAGATTATTTATTATCAGAGAATTTATAAGAACTGTTTAAGTATTTGAAAAATGCTGAGAAAGAGATTATAAGTTATAAGATAACTAGTAGAGACTACTTTATTATATATCAGAGATATTGAGTAAGAAATACTGTTTAAAACTTCTTATTTTTCTTAAAGAATTTTTTAAAGATAATCTTATAATGATGAGCTAATGTCTTATAAACTCTGTAGCACTCTTCATCTATTTTCTCTCAAAGAATTTTTAGAAGTTTAATAAGACTATATAAGTGTAAAATTCCTGAAGCAGTTAGAGAAAAGAGATATTTGAAATTAATAAAAAGATTAATACTATTAACTTATAAGCTACTACTATTCTAATAGAGCTGCAGTCTGTAGAAAAAGTAAAAGAAGAGAATCTCAGAGCTTACTTATTAATAATCATATCTTTATTAAACTTATTCTTCACTGTTGAAGTCTCTGATATTAATATCTTTATCTGCTGAGAAGTTAGTACTGCAGCACTACAGAAGAGTATAAGAGATATATAAAGTATTAACTTATTAATTTATAAAGCATCTCAGTTATTTACTTCAATTGAAGTGAGATTCTCTTCAATCAGTAATTTATCTCTATAATACTTTTAATAATAGTATCAGCTAATCTCTTCTTGAGATTAGTCATTCTGAGATGTTTTTTCATCTCAGAGATTCATGCTTTTATCTTATTATTACTATTATTATTATTCTTTTATTATACTCATATACAAGCGGAGCTTATAATGAGTTCTTGTGTGATGTTAAATACAGGTCAAGTGTTGATTATACAGGAGGAAATACAGATGTTAAGACTATGTCAAGATAACAAGAACATAGAAAAATACAAAGAAGTGATAATTAGATATATATAATAATAACTTCTCAGCTCAGAAACATAGAGTAATTCATTGAAGTGATTTGTACATCTCTGTATTTATTAGAAACCTGAGATGCTTGAGTTCTGAATTTAATGTATTCTCTGCAGGTTTCAAACTCACACACCTTGGTTTCTCATATCAAGGTGCTACTGAGTGGCTGTATTAATCATTCAGTCATCAGAGCAATGCTTTTATCTTCTTTTACAGATAAGTAAGAGAGATCTCTTTAGTCTTGATAAAATTCATTAATACTTAAAGCTCTGAGATTCTCACTCTGTACTGCTTAAGCATCTGAGCTTCTTATCAGAACTGACACAATGTCTTCTTATAGAATAGATAGTACTTACAGAGAGATAAAAGTTATTATTACAGATGTAATAAAAATAACAGAAGTGAGAGAAGAAGTAAATATATAAGATTCTCTCTTTCTTCAGCTGCTTAACATAGTATAGATAAGCCCCGGTGGCTGAATAGTTAATGCAGCCACCTGGTAGTGCCTTGGCGTGAGAAACCAAGGCATGTGAGTTTGAAACCCGCAGAGAATACATTAAATCCAGAACTCAAGCATCTCAGATTTCTAATAAATACAGAGATGTACAAATCACTTTAATAAATCACTCTATATTTCTGGGCTGAGAAGTTATTATTATATATATCTAATTATCACTTCTTTGTATTTTTCTATATTCTTGTTATCTTGATATAGTCTTAACATCTGTATTTCCTTCTGTATAATCAACACTTGACCTGTATTTAACATCACATAAGAACTCATCATAAGCTTTACTTATATATGAGTATAATGAAAGAATAATAATAATAATAATAATAAATAGTATAGATAAATAATAATATTAGTCAGAGACTACACTGAAGTCTTTTTATAGAGAGAAGATAAGAAAACTATAGAACTCTGTAAACTCAATTCAGCAGTATTTCAAGCAGAGCTCAGATATGCTATAGAAGAGAAATCATAAATTAAACTTCTTAAAGTTATTATTCTCAGAATCAAGCTCTCTCTGAGATTCTCTCTGAATAATCACACAGAGTTATACATTACTATATTGACTGAGAAGAGAAGCAGTGTTATAACAGTAGTAAGAAGAGTGAAGAATAGATCAGACACAGATGAATTAACTAATAAAAGAGATAATATCTCACTGTAAGATATAGCCCCGGTGACCGAATGGTTAATGCGGCCACCCGGTAGCACCTTGGCATGGGAAACCAAGGCGCGTGGGTTCGAAACCCGCAGGGGATACATTAAATCCGGAACTCAAGCACCTCAGGTTTCTAATAAATACAGAGGTGTACAAATCACTTCAATGAATTGCTCTATGTTCCTGGGCTGGGAAGTTATTATCACATGTATCTAATTGTCACTTCTTTGTATTTTTCTATGTTCTTGTTATCTTGGTGTGATCTCAACACCTGTATTTCCTCCTGTATAATCAACACTTGACCTGTATTTAACATCACGCAAGGACTCATTATAAGCTCTGCTTGCATATGAGTATAATGAAAGAATAATAATAATAATAATAAACTGTAAGATATAACTACTATCATCACAGCTGTAAGAGATACAGAAGAAGAAGAAGATATAATAATAAAAGTAGTACTTTTACAGCTTATTAACATTATTATCTTCATCTTTAACCTGGCTTTCTTAACAGTTATGAAGACTGCAGCTGCATTATAAAGACATTTATTACTTACTAGAAAATATTAAAATAAGTCTCTTATTATCTTTCAAGAATAATACTCTCATACACTCACTATTGAAGATAAGAGAAGAAGAGAAAAACTGTGTTATAGAGAGAGAGAGATCTTTTTAAAAAATTCTACTACTACTATTAACTTTATCTCTGAAATATACTACTTTTGTAGAGAATTCTATATATAGAATGAAATATAATAAGAGATCTGTAAGTTACTTATTAACTATGTTTTTCATATTCTAAATTAATATATAAGAAACTCACTTATCACATGTTTAATTTAAATAGAGATAAGAAAGAAAGATTTATATAATTAATAGAGAAACTTATCTATTTCTTTATATTATAGTATATATACTGTTAATTAATTGATAATTATTACTATATAATAAAGATAACTTCTAATCTAATAATCTTAAGAGTATCAGAACTATACTTTTAAAAAGAAGAGTATTATTACATTCTCAGTCATATTAAGACTCTGTTACAGTTTCACACAGCTTATTACTTTTATACAGATAATTTCATTCTATTTAAAGTAGTTTTCAATTACTTTATAACATTATTCAGATATATTATAGAAAGATCTGATTAATAAATATAAGAACTCTGCTTCTATATAAGATTAGCAGATTACTCTTTCTTAATAGTAAGACACTACTGAGATATTACTTCAGCTATTCTCACTTATGAAATAAGAGAAGAGTATTCACTTATTATCTATATAGAATAGCTAGATGCTGACTTCTCATTAAAGAAGTTAATGATTTGTTTTTCTTCTACTGAAATATATATAAGAGTTACTGTGTTTCTCATACAATCTTTTTAGTATACTAAGTATCATATCTGTGATATTCTTGTAATAACCCTGTAGTCTACACACTCACTATTCAAGCAAGATAGTCAAGCCCACTCATACAGCTTCTCAAACAACTATCTCTATGTGACACCGCTGACTAGCCACTGCTTCGGTTCCGCCATGTTACAATACCTCACATTTTAAGAGCTTTGTTTAATCTTTGAACATGAATTCTAGTCATTTACTAGCTATTCTGTCAAGTCCTTATCTTGTCCACTGTTGTAGGAGACTCATAGAACCAACCCCTTTTTAAAGCATGTAGTTGAAATGGCGCGGGAGCGGCCAAGGGCCCATAACCTGATGGAGGTGGAAGGTTGGTTGATTGTACACTAATCTACCACGCAGCATTCTATAGGTGTGTGGGTCACGTGGCCTCATATAGGGCATCCGGCCAACAACTACTGAGTCAAAACAGAGATGCAATCTCTGCTCGTCTCAGGTCAATGCCATGTCTTGGCACTACGCAGCATCAGTTAGTCGTCCATAATTTACACATGATTCGGCTGCTCTATATCCGGCCCAATAGCTGATAACCGCGCTTCATGAGGATTGTTTGTCTGTCGCAACGAGTCAAACCCTCAAGGCATGTGTAAACGGGACAGAACTAGGGATGAAACCTCTTCAGGCCGTAGCCATACCAGTTATGAGACCGATACCAGCCCGTTCGCAGAAGCGGATATTCCAAATGCGACCTAGCGCATGAGACACCCACCGTGTTCGAAACCAAGCGCGCACCAAACTAGTCCTGTTCCGGGCAAGCATGCCCTGGCAACTCGAATAGACTTTGACGCCTTACCTGATCAGGAGTTCTCCCAGCGCGGCATGCGCTGCACCAAGCCCTGGAGGTCCGCCTCTGGTGGCCTCTCGCGCCCTGGTGGCTGGTGGCGGACCGGTGGCTTGCTGTTTGGGTTCACGGGCGGGTCTGATCCATGGCTGAGGGCTGGTCCTGGGCCCGCACTTGCGGCTGGATTTGCTCTTTTCAACCCTTTGGCGCCGTAATTAATCTGCGTCAGACCCTGTACCAAGATTACGCTCTTGCCCTTTTCAAGAAGGGGCTGGCGCAACCCGGAAAAATCTCCCCGTTGGCCCAAACGGGCGGTGTTGGAGACGGAGCAACCTTGCGCGCGGACACCAGATATTATTGGAGGCAGCACACCCGGAGAGCTGCAACAAAGCTCCTGTCCTCTTCCCCCTGGCAGTCGACTACCTGTGTGGCATGACGCGAACAGTAGTGATTGCGAGATTGGAAACATCTGGCACTTGAGTACGGAGTAGTTCCTCAGCCTTGCCCGGCGACCTCTTCAGCTCCCCGCGTCATCAGCATCAGCATTCGCTTCGAAGAGAACCAGGAGCGAAACAGAAGTGATTGGGGAGATAAACTGGCTGTTATCAGCTGAATCTTCCGTTCTCTTCCATCTTTTCCATTTCCCTCTCCCTCCCCGCTACTTGCTCGTTATCGTTCTCCATCGCGACCCAGCATCGAGCTTCGCTACGTTTTCTTGCCTCTTTCGGTTAAACCGGGGGCCTCATCCAACCCCCGCTCACTCCCAGTCACCTACAGGTGGTCATTTTTATGTTCCCTCACTTCTATCCCTCGGGGCTTTGCTACGTTTGCCGTTAGCATAATATTCCGAATTTGTTCAAACTTCCAGGAACAATGCTGTATTGCGACAGCTAACCATAATACTACCTCTCCAGTACTCAGGCCAAATGGCTCATGTTTGTGTGGCTGCGAAGTCGGATTCCATACCTTAGCCAATCCTTATAGGGTCAGCTATCTTCAAGTCCCAAATACCACTTCCACTTTCGCTCGTTTGAAACGCTTTTCGTTCAGCAAAATCACGAGAGCGCTAGATACCTCTAATCGCAACTGCACTTACCAGGGAACATATACAAGCGACCAACGCCTTTTTTCTCCGTATATACTTTGTTTATTTATTTGCCCATCTATCTATATATCTCAGGATCGCGGCTAGCATCCATCCATGTTGCTCACCGTGAAACCTCCCCTGCACAACGGAATCTTACCTCATGAGTACGCTGCTTTGTCGCCGCCTTCCCCTCAGACCCATCAGCGCCATCACCATCACCATCACTCCTTGGCCTCGACCACTCGTTACATCTCTCGTGCCTCGTCTTCTACCACTTCTCCCCCTCCCGTTTCTGGTCTTTCTGCGCCATCAATCCGCTCCCCTTTGTCAGACGAGGCTATGGACTCGTCCAACCGAAACTTACCACCAATGTCCGGAACTCTTGCCCCTTCGGAGCGCGATCTACCCGCAATGGCTCCTATGGGCACATCCATGTCTCATCTACCAGCACCCCCTTCGCAATGGCAGAATACAGATGAATCAATGCGCCAATGGTTGCAAACAAAAGCAGAGGAGGATCGCCGGAAACAAGAGGAGGAACGCACGCGCCAAGAATGCTACCGGCTGGACCAGCGCAAAATTGAGCAGTCAATGCTTCGAGAGTCCCTCAAGGCCGGTGTGCCTCCCTATATGGTACCTCTGATATTTGCTAATATGGGCGGTGGATGCAATCTCCAATGGACTCAGCAGCATATGTCTCAAATGCACGGGTCTTCCACTCACCCGCTTATTCCTTCTCACGCAATGCCGCAACCTCAACCTCAACAGTATTCACCACCTCAGCAGCAACAGCAGCAGCAACAACAACACGCTACCCCAACGCCTCAACCTACCCCTTCATCAAGTGCTCATCGTCATCCTCCGCAGCCACATCCTCAAATTATGCCACCCCCTTCTCTAACGCCAGTAGCCAGTCAACATGTCGCACCTGAAACTCCCTGGGATTCCCGTATGATCCCCCCAAACCCATATGCTTCACAACCTCCACCACATACAGGGGTAGGTCCGTCATCGCAATCTGCGCCTCCATCACCATCATCCCATGTTTCGTATACACGTGCGCCATCGTTGCGCCCGCCGAATCAACCCCCGGGCCAACCAAGTTCCAATGCTACCCCATTGTCGCGCATTAATACGTCAGAAATGCATATCCAACAACCACCGAACAACTCTTATACCGCGGCTTCTCCATCGGTTTCGGGACCCCCACAGCAGTCGCCATCGCTAGCCAAATCCGATTCAGGAGCTCACTCGCAATCGCAACGGCAAACTCAGTCATCTCCATCCATCTACTTTCATCATTGGGTTCCGCCTGGTCAATCACAACCAAATACCCCATCAAGCAAAAGTCCGAATAATTCACCGTACTCATCAAATCCCAATTCCCAGCTTCGGTCTGAATTCCAAAGTTCCCCGAGGAAACGAAAGGCGCAATTCGTCCACCAATCTGTCCCACCTCCATCACGTTCCGACACAGTGACGTCTCATACTTCACCGGGCCGGATGTCTCCACGAGGGAACGGACGGAGCAGTGGGCATTTACGACATCAGAATCAATCTCAACTGCAGAGTCAGGAGTCAAGACATGGCGATCTACTGGAGCCTGGCAGGCCTGGCGGGCAGATGCACGTGACTTCATTGGTGAGGAGCGCCGACGAGGGAGATGGCAGGTCGACATCAAGAGGAAGGTCAAATTCAGATCGAGAGAGTAAACGGGAACGGAGCAGTAGCCGTGCACAAATTTCCGGTGACCGTAATGGCAACAGTCACGGTAACTACGCTGGGAGGGGCTCACGAGACGACCCGCAGAGCGGACCTGGGGGAAGTCATAAACAATCGGCTTCCAGCAACATGGTTCACTCTTCCTTCAGTACATACGGCTCTAGCTACGGACATGCCCGTGAAAGCACCGGGCCATCTAATTCGGTATCCGGAGCCGATACTAACAACTATCGATCCCCTTCAGACCGATCACCTATTATTCACCCTCGAGAGGACCACCCACAACCATCATCGGCAATATAATGTGAACGGCTAGCTTGTTTTATTCTATTTCCACTTTTGTTCTATAACTATTCTGTCTTATCTAAATTGCTCTCATTTAACGGGGGTTTCATTCTTTGTTGTTTTCATATGTCACTTTGGGCCATAGAGCGATTATCATTTTTTTGGGCTCTCATGTCATATTTTATGTATCTTGCTTTTGGCTTCCACCTCTATACATTAGGATGTGTCAGGCATTTGTTATATGTGTGTGGTCATTGCATCGGAGCTGGAAATTTTGCAAATCTTACCCTCATTTCTTTCATCCCCATCTTCAACTTTCAAATTCTATTTTCATTCATTCTCTTAATTGTTCTCTCATCATTGCCCATTTCGTATGGGATTCTTTTGTCTCCTTCGGTTACAAACAGTACGCAGGATGAAGTGAGGATTTCCATCGAAATTTCTTTCTACCTACGACAAACTCTTCATAGCTATACGTTTCTTTCCATTTTGGTCATCATTGTATTTTTGACATCCCAAAAACGTTTCCTTGATCTCTCCTCAGTGTTTATTAACTTCTACAATGAGTGCGCCCCTCTACAAATAGAAGTGGATGGGTTTCATAATCATTTTTTTCTCTACAATAAATAAATAAACATGCACATTTCCGACGAATATGATCCTGGAAGGGTAGAACATATTCCGATATCTAAAGAAGCAGAATTGAAAGATAGAAGGAGATTTTGGATTAAAACAAAAACAATCGGAAAAAAGAAATGCCCCCGGCCAGGATCGAACTGGCGACCTTGAGATCGCTAAGTAGTTTTTGCTACCTATCATATTGTAATAGGACATGAATATGAGACTCACGTGATAACCAACTACACCACAGAGGCAGACTTGTTAGTGTACGGTAATGCCGAGCTATTGATATGCCGTATCCACATACGCAGGTAACGTAATCAACCACCTAACGCTCGTTTCTGTTGGTGATTACTACACCTACCCTAGTCACATGCTATCTCAACCTATTCATTTAGTGTAACTCGCGTAGTTAGATTACAACATAATAATATTATTCTTCAAGAGATTATGAAGCTCTTCATAAGTAATAAATAACTGTAATAATGTGCTAACTACATCTTTATATATTATTACACATGTCTAGATGTTTTTTATTAATTAATTGAACTTATAATGAACCTGAGATCAGGTGAAAAGCCTGACTTAATGAAGAATTATATATTAATATATAGAAGAAGAAATTCATAAACATCTGAAGTATAAGAAGAATTGAGTGTGAGCTTATTAATATCTGTAATAAATTAAAAAGTGACTGTCTCAGAGATATTTGAGCTGGATAAAATTATTGCAGAGAAACAGTCTGATGAGTTCAATATATACAAAGACTCAGTTGAAGATATCAGTGAGATATCAGACAATGTAGAGAGCTTAAGTGATTAGAATAATAATAGCTCAGTGAGTAAGAAGACTCACATGAGACTAGAAATTACAAGACTTCAGTATGAGATTGAGTGAATGAAGATTAGTAGAAGTGACTCTGCAGATGATGAGATAAGAGCAGATCTGACAGAGTATCTTCAATGAAAAGAGAAGATATCTGTTATAATAAAAGTTCTTAAAGAATTCAGAAGCTAAGTAAGACTTATCAAAAGATTAATAGTTCTCACTGAATTCATCAACTACTTAATATAAAGAGAGGAAATTCTTTTGACTGCAGAGCAGTCTGAAACTGATAATATTTTTAAAGATAATGATCTTGATAAGAATGCTACTATAAATATACAACATTTCTGAAAAGAATATAATTTTTGATTATATAATTACATATGATCTGCAATTGCTCTGCAGATCAAGACTCATTTCACTATACTTAAGAAGTTCAAATTATCAGCTTATACTCTATGAACTATCATAGAGAATAACTTTTTTAAGAGACCTACTGTACACAGAACTCATTTGTTTGAAGAGCTTATTAAAATGATTTTTAAAAGCAAAGAATTTGACAGAGCTTTTATTAAATATCTGATTGTTATAAGAACTGATTATATTCATCTAAAATATAAGATTCTGAATATCATGTTTTTCAACAGACTGCTTACAGAAGTCAACAGAGGTTGAGTCTTATTCATAAGAAATTAAATGAATTAAATTGACAAAGATAATACTCAATTCTTAGAGAATGATTTTATAAGCCTGTACTGTGATATTCTTTTACAGCTCTCTGCTGTAAATGAAGTAAATACTGATATATCTAGAAATTCTATCAACAACGTGCAAGATAAGAATAAGAAAGATAAGAATAAAGAGAAAGACAATGACAAGAACAAGAACACTAAATTCAAACCTGAATATAGAGATAATGATGTGAGAATCTGCTATCATTGTCAAAAGATTGATCATATTCAGACTGACTGTTGAAAGAAATATCCTGAGAAATATTCTTCAAATTTGAATTTCAATATCAATAGAAATAAGAATAAAGACAAGAATGCAGAGAATACAGATACTGCTTCTGTTCACAACATTATAAAGCAAGTATTTTACATCAAAGAAAAGGCCTATGTGAGTAATCAGACAGGAAAAGATACCTGAATCCTAGACTCTGAATCAGGTGCTCATGCCACATTTCACAGAAATCTTGTCATGACAAAACCTCAGAAGATGAAAGTGATGTTGAAAATGACAGAT